TTTCTAATTTGCTATGAATAACTTTTAAAGAACATGATGGAGGACCATTGAGCCTGATCCGGTGGACCAGTGTTAGTTATGAGGGTTTATAACATTCAAAATTAGGTTTAGATACCCGCGGCGGTTAGAACACAGATAGACCATTGTGTAGTTGTATGCTTTATAATAAACAAACAGACAAAAAACATTAAAGCTAAATACCTTGCTCCCAAGATTTGTAACACAAGTTCCAAGTAGATGAGTTAAGGAATAATACATATCAAATTGACCATTATTACGTAACTGAAATTTACATTCAACAGTTTGGGTATAAAAACATCTATCGTTTTAGGCCTCATTAGTATATTTAAAGCATACAAATAACTCAGACAATTTTCAAAATTTGTTAAAATGGTCTTTACACTCAATAGTAATAATAATATAATTCTTACAGCAGAAGATAAAAATATATATTAAAGTTTTAAATAATTTGCTTTCCAAGTATGCAGTCAAGAAGGCGAGATAAAGGAAATAGGGATAATTTTAGTAAAATTAAGAAATAAATGACATTGTATAATTGGTTTCCTCTTATACCTGATAAAATCTGAACATATTCTATCAATACATAACTGGCAAACAATCGAATTAAACGAATGATTTAGGTACGTGTTTATTAAGTTAAATTTTTGATTTGTCCCTTAAGCACATCTAATTTATAATGAACTCCAATAACAATGATTCTGATGCTGAAACGTGACGTGACACACCCTGGCTTTTATATAGGTTAGATTATCTTTAAGTTACTCGTATGTATACCAAACTACCACTAATTCCGGAATGAACTATATTTAACGAAAATAGTAAAACACTTCTCGCTAACTTCCTAAGGCAAGTGCATTGTATACTAAAATAACCAAATCCACGTGAATAAAGTAGGCCACCTCTCCATTTTTGTACGTTGTATTTTATTTGGGTGATCTATACCTGACGTGTAGTCATTTTGATAAGAGACATTGAACTCATTAAAAATAATTGATAGTTATAAAACATGTAACTCACTTTTAGCATTGGATTTCAAATCATCTTGGAATTTTTCTTAAGCGGACTGTCGTGTGACCTTTTTATTTGATATTTTGTCCTTAGGCTATTCAATTCAAAGCATAATTTAAAATAAGAGTGTAATGATCCATCGCACACGTTTTGACAACTCGTAAAAAGAACTCAACATTTTCATGTTGGATTACAGAATACGTCTTAGTAGGAAAGTAAAATATTAAGGTGTTTTTTTCGTTCATGATCAAACATCATTTCGATCAGTGAATGTAAAGATTGTCCCCCCCCCACTCCGTCATTGAAATCGTAATAAGCAGACAGTAATCGAACTATTCTATCTGGATGAATGCATTTTGACTTTTATGACTCCTCCTATTTGAGAAATCGGGGGACGTGAGGGGAGGTGCCGTGAGACCTTATAAGTGTAGTGAGTGTTGGTATAATAAGCCTAAAGTAAAGACATACAAGTAGCTGTGGGGTCACATCATGAAAGCTTTGTGCTTAATAACAAAACAACAACTTTTTTCTAGTATTCTAATTGAAGAGCCATAATGTTTAAGAAAATGATAGTTTATTTGTAGTTAAGCCCAAAGCTACACAATAGGCTATCTATGCTATGCCCACGACAAGTATCGAAACCCGGTTTCTAGCATTGTAAGTCTGCAGACTTACCGCTGTGCCACTGGGGTCGATAGTGATAGACCTGGGGTAAGTTATGAAGACCATTATGTTAAAGTTAAGAAAGTAACTGTTAGACTGTCATAGAGAATAGATTTAGCGAAAATGAAATCCGTTTTTTCTCGTATTAGTATCTGTAATGTAAGTGACTGTAACGTCTGAACGTCCAGAGTTTCATTGAGTTAATATACTGGAACAAAAATTTCAATCTATTAGAACACAATGTATTAATTTAATAAATAAAGTTGGTTTTTGCAGCGACAGTTTTAATGAATGTGAAAGATAATCCAGTTCTTTCTTTCAAAAAACAACATAGATTACGAAATTAGATGAAAATAAATTTTATTTATTTATTTATCTGATGAAATTTCCTCTAAATTAAACCTGAAAAAAAAAGTTATAATATATCGTCTCTGAATATCAATTTGGAGAAGTGGGATCGAGAAGTTGGAAAAGTGTCAGATAAAGAACCAACTGACAGCGATAAAATCGAGATAGAACATATCCTCACGTGTACGCAACGTTTTCTAATTAAATATCCAGATAAAACATAACTTTAATAAAATAGTATTAGTCATTAGTGAAATACCATCGAATTAGCATAAAACGACAAGTTTTTATTACATACTCCAATTTTATAGTCAAATGGAAAATTGCTGTAAATGTATTTATTTCCAAAGTAAATGCATATATATTTTGTCACTCACTCAGTTTGTTATATTTCAAGCTATGAAAAGCATTTCTAAGTTGAAACTTTATTTTCTATGTTTAGTCTAACAACTTCCTTAATTGGTTTGGTTTGTGTTGAATTTCGCGCAAAGCTACGCGAAGGCTATCTGCGCTAGCCGTCCCTAATTCAGCAGCTAGTCCTCACCACCCACCGCCAACTCTTGGGCTACTCTTTTTTACCAACGAATAATGTGACTGACCGTCACATTATAACGCCCCCACGGCTGAAAGGGCGAACATGGTTGGTGGGACAGGGATTCGAACCCACGACCCTCAGATTGCAAGTCGCGTGCCCTAACCACCTAGCCATGCCAGGCCCAGCTTCCTTAAACAAACTACCCAGAGGTTGAAGATCCCATCATAGTTTTTACAATAATTAGACGGTTGCAGATAAAATAAGGTGCATCATTCAAAACACATTTCAAAGTGTAAGAAACGTTTCGTGATATACATGAGGCCCTCCATCGTATAAGAAACTTGAACAAGCATTAACCAATTGCCGAAATACTTCCATTTTGTTTTGTGTTATTAAACATTATAACGTCAATACTTAAACTTAACGCTTAGAAACAACAATAAGATTACCCGTAACTATATCTCCATTACTTCTTCGTTTTGTCAAATTGAAGATCAGTGGGAAGTCGTTGCTAGTTACTGGTTAACCACTGTGGATAAATATTTAAATTCTGACAAAAACTGATTATTTTAGTTTAAGGCGCGTGTGCCCAACAGAGCAACAAAAGTGAATATATTATCAAAACAAGGTTTTGTTTGTTTGTTTGTAGTTAAGCACAAAGCTACACAATGAGATATCTGTGCTCTACCCACCATGGGTATCGAAACCCGGATTTTAGCGTTGTAAGTTCGCAGACATACTGCTGTGCCACTGGGGGTCATCAAAACAAGGAAATAGCAATGAGAGGAGTGAAAATGCAAATATCAGAAAGGTAACATTCTAAGTACAAGCATGAAGGACACAACATGATAACGATGATGAAAGACAGTATTGATAAAGGTAACTTCTTACTGAATCATTCTACGCCTGGGAGGTTTTTACTATTATGCTAGGTAAAATTAACAAATACCGTAGTCATGGTTTAAAAACATCATCGTTGTCTTTACTAACTAATGAGCCCCAACATGATACTCGTATTTTTGAATGAGACTACATATTTTAATTATACGCATGGCATTAATTTTGAAATGAATAAACATGTTCCGGTTAAATTGAGAAGATCTACAACTCTTAAGTTTCGTTGTGATAGTCTCAATTTTATTTAAAAAAAGTATTGTCTCTCTATGGTGGCATTAACAATTGAGACGTGATATGAATATGTTACTTATTTCATCCAATGAAATAAGACAAGCACGAAAGTCCATCCACAGTTTGAAATAGTGAACAACCATATAGTTTCTTTGAGCATATATTGTAGTTGAAACTTCTAACTCAGAAACTGTTACGAAAAAAATATGGAACCTCAAAGGAAGAATAATGTTTGTATTGTACAATTATACCAACAATTTTCAACTTCATTCGAATATCTGAGAGCAATTTTTATTATATCTTCTTAAAAAAACGACTAAAATATATAATAAAAACATTTTATCAGGCTAATATCAGCATACTCACTACAACGTAACATAAAGTTCCAAAACTTTAATACTGTTTGAATCTCTTCGCTCAGTAGAGTTACAAAAGGATACTTTAGTATCTAATGATCGTTGAAGAGAAATGTTACATTTTCATTTGAAATTCGTTTTGGAACATCTGGGGAAAAAGCTGAAACTCTCAAAATCTCTCTCACGGTCATATTCATACAAAAACATGTAATGTTTTATCTCTCTCCACTAACACACTTACACACACAAAATATATATAGATACTTTAAATAAATAAGAGATTAACTGGTCTTAACTTTATAATTCAATAAAGTTATGTTAACTGTTCTATTGAATATTTACTATCCAGAGATTATTTAAGTTACGTCTTTTATAACAGATTTTTGAGTTCTACGAGCATCAAAACTGTTGCCAAAATGTTCTTGCTGTCTTTTTTCTGTGACATTAAAATACGAATTTTAACTACAGATTTTACCACAGTAAAATGCTATTATATTAAAATTCTGAGGTTTTAAAATCTCTGACCTACTTTAAATAGTTGAAGCCTTTTTTTGTTGCTATAACACGTTCAGCATGAGGTGCAAGACTTGTCCGTATCAGCTCCTAAAAATAGAAACAAGTATATCGGTTACCAAGCGTTAAAAGCTGTGAAGAACTTTTAACCAATCACGTTAAGGACCAGTTCCATAAGCCAATGGGTTGGTTTGCGTAAGTTATTTTTCTTTTGTTTTTTGCGTTCTTGGACCATGCAGTTAAATAGTTTTCATAGCTGTAAATATAATTTAAGTGTTTACAGCACTTGGTTCTAGAGGTCTAATACAGTTGATGCTTCAGCATTTCTCAAATTGTTGCTATTGGCTAACGTGAAGACTACGCAAAATGAGCGCTGTTAGATCTTTTTATAATGTATTCCTTGAATGTATGTTCGACTTCTCTCCAAGAGTCACCAGGTGGTTACCTCTCTGTATTGCTGTGTTGCTGCCTGTCATTATTGTCTTCATTAATCGTTATAAAAGATACTTGCAGATGTGGAAGATCCCTGGGCCCCAATGTTGTCATCCAATCCTAGGGAACGCAAATATTGTACCAAGTTTCTACAGGTTTCAAGGAGTAGCTCCGCACGTATGTAAGTAAAGTATATTAGTTCGATCTCTGTGAGACATTATAGCAGTACTGCACACACACACACACCTCAGAGATTGATATCGAGTTAAACGGTATTTCAAGGTAAAATTAAGATTTAGTGTGGTATACCGTGAAAATGTTTCACTTAGGTATTGTTGACTGTAAGGTTATATATATATATATGTATACATGTGTAACTATTAGAAGGAAATTTGTTATTGTTAGCTTGAAATTTTTGGACCTGAAGTAGGGAACCTACGTGTATGTGGATTAAATGTGGGTTGGAAATTGAAGCACATGATTTAAGTTTATTTAGTGTATGCTACACTCCCACATTCTTCACAGAGTATCATTAAAATATTTTGTCACTGATTTGTAAGTTACGTACTTAAATCTGAGATTGCAATAATAACACAAATCCTCCATTATTTAGGCCACGTATATTTCGGTTTCTGTCTTTTGTTATCAATTCGCTGTTTTAGTTCAAATTTTCGTATAAAGTTTTAAGACTCAAAATATTAAGTCCATTCTTTTAGCTTTAGCTTCACAAGTTTTGTCTTATTCTTTAGCAAGTCATGCTTATTTTCATCAGCTAATAATATTGTTACCAATATTTAGTACAAACCATCTGATACGTATTTCATTTCATAGGATATCTCTACTTATTAACTTATTACTGCTATATTTGTATACTTTATCTAATGGGTGATAGGTATGTTGCAAAGCAGACGCTGCTCCTCAGCCAGTGTATAAAAACAGATTAGGCAATATCTAATAGCATTACAACAAAAAAGTCTAAGTTATAAGGTATTTACACTTTTTTTTCTTGTAATACTGTTAGATTTCGCCTCGTTTATCTTTGTATATCCGTTTAAATCACAAGCATATTTTTAGTTGAATAAGCGCTCAGTTACGCTGTCAGAATATCAAAAAGGAGGCAAAAAAAGATACAGTTTTGGAGCCTCACTACTTCGTTAGTCCATGTCGCCACTTCCTGTCGTGCTCTAATTTGATGACCGTGCATCTTGAGAAAAGCGCTGCATCGTAGTTTTCATTTCAAAAGAGTACTCTGTTGTAAGGCTCTCATATTCCAATCACCACACTCATCCCTGCAGGCTTTCCACAATCCATCTAGTGTATGAGAACGGCGGTTTTCCAGTGCCTTTTTCAAAAGTCCGGTCACACAGTGTAACTGGTATGTCTTGGCTTGAGATATGCGACAGTTGAACAGTAGATGCTGTATCTTGGCTTCGTTTCCACACGGAAATCTTTTTTGATCACGTTGCACCTAGGAAATGTGTGTTCGTGGATTCTCATCTGTTACAAGAAACCGCACTTTGTTTACCACGGCTGATGTACGACTTATTGCAGGTCTCTTTCTGCATATTCCTGGTGACAAAAGTTGGTCTATCTTCATTTATTTTCTAGCGCTACTAAGCACAAGTGATATCTTTGTCTTGAAAACTTTAAATCCCAATCTGAACACATCTTTATAATCTAAATGTATGGCTATTTTGCGTCGGAAAGTTGCTGTAACTTACCATTTTCAAAAGCTACTGATTTTCACTGGTATCACATATCTACGCAAAGCAAAACAATGTTAAAATGTAGTTTGATGCATGGCATTCCACTGGGACTTTATAATATAATGTACTGAACACTCTGTATGTGATATGTTTGTTCTCGTAGTCAAACTCCTAATAAAATAAAATGTAGTTACAATTTTTCAAACTGTTATAGCTGAACTATTTTTGAAAGTAAACGATATAGATTGTAAATTTTGTTGGTATTATCAATGTAACAGAGACTATAAAGCTGACTTCTTTCGTTTAAAAACACCCGGAATGATTGTATTGCGATGCAGCTCTGAATCCGATACAAGATAATATAAAATGAAAGTTTGAGACGTAACTAACTGGAGTTTTATTAGAAAAACAACAACAAAAAAACAAAACATTATGAGTTAAAATCTTGATCTACGAAAATGAATCTATTTTAACAAGAATCAAAGAAGCTTACTAATCAAACCCAATAATGCATGTATCAAGAACATTTTGCCTTACTCCTATGTCACTTAAAAAATAGGATGAGTATATAGCAATTGGGTAGAGCGTGGCCTAGCATTACGTGCTCGGACTTTGAATCTGAAGACTCATGGTTTGCTCCCCGTTGCAGCAAAAACGCGCTCCGCACTTTGGACTCGTGAGTGTTCTGTAATTGTCACTGTTCAGTCAGACAAGAGTAGTCCCACAGTTTTCTGTAGGTGCTGTTGACTAGCCACCTTCCCTCTAGTCCATCATTTCAAAAATAGGGACCACTATGCGTAGATAGCCGTTATATAACCTTGTGTGAAGTTCTAAAACAAAGAAACAAATTAAGGCAATAAACTGACCCAAATGATAGCAATAAATGAACTCAATGTTGAATTCCTTGATACCTCTTCAGAGGAGTAATTCAAATTTTAAGTTTTCTTGTTATGCATTACACTTGATAATGTTGTGTTAAATGAATGAAACGTTGTGTATGTTTTTCTTTTCCGATAACGTTTGAATTACTGTCACTATTATCTTTGTTGAATTATGATTAAGTTAGATTTAATATGCCATAAGGGTCTACTTAACTTCTTAAGACATTTTTGAAATATTGCTACCACTTGATTGATTGATTGAAAAAATAGCACTTGGTAATCGAGCTTCAGTTTGTTTTATACCAAAAGTCCAAAGTTCGAACCAAGATTACATCTTTGAACTTTCTCCATTGTTTACCTAATTCGTTGATTTTCCTTTGTTGAATTTCGCACTAAGCTATACGAGGGCTAACTGTTCTAGTGATTGACAGAAAGCAGCTAGCCAACACACTAACTGCCAACTCTTGCCTGAATGAATAGTAAGATTTGACTGTCATTCGTATAACCCATCCAATGCTCCAAAGCGAGGAGCATGCCTCAGCTTCATAGTTAGGCACGCTAGCAAATGAAATACAGTGACAGCTGATTAGAGTGACAAGATATTACAGACAAACAGTAGTGCTGGAATGTTTAACTTAATGTATCTCACTGGCTGAGAAAATCATATTAATAAAAGGTCAACAAATTTCTCTAATTGAAAGTTAAGTTAATGTTTTCGATTTCAAAATTAACATATAACATATTTTATAGTTTAGGGACTAAAATGTTCATCAGACTGCAGAAAAAAAATTATTATTATTTTACGATAAAAACGTACGTAAAAGTGACGCACAAAGATAACTGAATTCCGCGTGAATTAAATCATCACGTTTGTAAATGTAATAGGAAAGATAATGCTAACTTAGGATACTTTGACAGAACCATAAGTTGTTCTATGAAAATAATTTTAATTTTTTGTTTCCTAGTTAACCCTAATAAGTTAACACAGTAATATTTTGCTTAATTGAATTCCTATGTAAGTATAGTTTCAAATGCAAAGTTTACAGTCATTTTCAAAAGTCACGTGGGGAACAGAAATATGAGTCAAAGACTTACCAGGTGGAAATCAGAGTTTGCTTGGAAATAGAAGCATCACGACAACAGTTATAAACACATCTAATCAAACGTTTTGTAGCCTACAAGTTCCATCACCAGATCTATAAAAATACAGTGTTGAGTATAATTATGCAATATTGAATAAAATGGATCTAAAATGAAAATATTATAGAATTGCTCCTCTCCTTTATTCTATGAAAAAGAACTGCATTATAAGACAGTCAGATTTTGATAGTTTTTTCACTGTGATTGGCTGTTGTCTAACAAATCAAACAGTGTCAACCAGTATAATACCTATAAACGTATATGCATTCATACTATTCCCAGAAATAGTGTGGGGAATACACTCATAACTCAATGAAACATAACAAACATATAGAAATCAAAGTTCTGGCTATTTAAGGACGCTTCAGGTTAAGGCTAAATTTCATTATTTAGAGAGATTTGTAGAGATTCGTTTGTTTGTTTGTAATTAAGCACAAAGCTACACATTGGGCTATCTGTGCTCTGCCCACCACGGGTATCGAAACCTGGTTTCTAGCGTTGTAAGCCCGCAGACATATCGCTATACCACTAGGGGGGGGGGCGATCAGTATAGAAACTGTGAGGAGGTGCATGAAACTAGTACTGTTGATAAAAGAAACTGTCAGAATAGAAAACTCATGAAAAGTGATGTTAGATACCTAAGTGTTTGTTAATCACGCGTTAAACGAAAACCCAGCAGAGATCTTGCCAACGGCCTAGCTGTAAATGTTACATCCGAAACAGTAATGTACACATTAGCACAACGTGGTCTCAACTGATCTGTAGCTGCTCATACCCCACTGTTTAGGAGAGACAGCCAAATGAAGAGGTTGAAATGATGGCCACACTTGAAACAATTGGAAGAACAAAGCTGAAGAAGGGAGCTATTTACAGATTAGTCCAAATTTGTTTGATGGTAGAGATTAGAAAGGTATTACGATCAAAGCATGACATATACAGTGAATAATTACGAGTGAGGGTTGTATCTCAGCCAAATCTTTTAGAGATCTATACAAAACTGATGTCATCCTGACTGCTGATGTGTACTAGTAGATTCTTATCCATTATGTCATTCTCTCAGGAACAAGATATATTGTGCAGAGATTCGTCAACAAATAAGATGGAACGACATCAGGCAGGAAGACAAAACCAATGGAACACTCTCAACATGTCTTGACATGCAAGAGGCCCAGTATGAGTATTATTAATGTAGTGTAGTCTTATATGGAAAGTGAGAATGTCAAAGGGCACTTAAACAAGTTGAATGGAATGTGGAAAGTAATACAGAACACTTGGAATGATATTTTACAATCACACTTTGATAAGCCTCTATAAAATAAAGCTAGAAAGGTATCGTAGAGCGTGTGTAAAAATGTTTCATTTGTTAATAGCAGGCAGTAACACCTAAGTTTTGTAATCTTACAAACCTCTCTCCTTCTTTTTCATTAAGTTATACTTTAGGTAAACCACAAGATTTCAACTTCATAGCCAGAACAGATTGTACCCTTATGTAGCAACAAGTCCACTTAAAAACATCCTACTGGGGAGCAATCAAGCACTAAATGTAATCCATTAGAACGCTCCAATTAAGGAGCTGAAACTTTGGGGTTTTGCCAAAATAAAAATAATATAAATTGCTGTTATTAAACCATTGTATAAGTTTAAATAACACTTTTTTTTTCACTCAAACACGCCACTGTCCTTCAATCAGACTTTGACTCTTACGCTTCTTTTAAAGACATCAAGTTCATGATAAACGTCTTCTGCTCAAAACATCGACATCTGTTCATTTCTGTACAATAATAGTTTGTTCACACTCTTGGATATGGAACTTTAATTAATACGATAGAAGTCTTCCCTTATTTTGCAGAACACATAATACTTTGAATCAAAACATTGAACATACCTGGTGATAATCACGTAATACATTTTTGAAGCTTAAAAAATCTCTGCTAGAGCTTCATAAAGTTTTTTTTTGTACGATTAACTGATAAATAGTGAAACACAGATTTTAGGAATAACTTTTAATCAAAAAACAAACTGTTACGGAATCAAATACTGTCACAAGTGTGAAAATGTATATAAAAAGCGTTATACAAAATACGTACAGATACAATGTTTCCATTGACTTTAAAGCTTTTAAAAATAATAAGGAAAAAGTACTGAAATGCAACAACATGTATTCAAAAAATCTGTGGAAGAAGAGAAGTACTTTTTTCATAATTATTTTTGATATATTTAATACGTTTATACCACAGGGAGGCCAACCAGTCAGCATCCTCTCCCCTACTCATAATAACTTAGCAAGATTGACTGTCACCTTATTTTTGATTAGTATGCTTTAAAATATAATGATTTACGGGTTTTAGTTGAGCAAAGGCATCTAAATAATATCATTTGTATACATGATTTTCGAATATAACACTGGCATGTTTCTGCACATTTCTATAATATTTATACAAAATACGCAAGCCCGATCAGGATGGTTGGCGTGATCAGTGTAGGTGTTTTGCCAATAAATAATATTTTCAGTTTTGTGTCCACTTGCAGATGAAAACAAATGCAATGAAGTTAGTAACAAATTATTCTATTTCAACCATGTGTTTATTGAGAGCTAAGAAAAACCGTCTGACGACTGATGTAAATAAAACATTTTGAAATTCCGGTTGATCTTTTAGGTAATCCAATATTACATGCTTACTTGCTAAAATTAATATTAATTTATCATAAAATTTGTTATTTTATCTCATACCATTTAAATGCTAGAATGATATGATTGTGACGTAATACTCTATATTTAGTGCTATTCCAGACCCTCTGCGCCTTCGCTCATCTATTTGATAAAGAAAGGTTTTTCCGCTTTTGGATTGGAATGCGATTTGTTGTAGCTTTTTACAAACCGGAAACCGTTGAGGTAAGGTATATTTCTATGTTTTTGTTCTTATGTTCCTGAAGAATCCTAAATTATTATCAGTTCAACTAAAGTAATCAAATAATAAGTTTTTGAGTTAATCAGTAAGAAAATTATAAGATGTCATGAAATAACTACAAAATATAAATAAACTGTAAATAAATCTATCTAGCAACAGCAGAAAATAAAGCAATGTAGTCTTTAAATCACTTCTACCGTTTCATACGTCAACAGCGTTTGGAAAATGATATCTTTCGTAACAAATGCTACTTCTCAGATGAATCAAATTCTAGTTTGTTGAAGAATACCTTCTAAACTACCAAATCACCATTTACCATCTTAGCTAATAAAGTCCAAGATTTTTATTTTACCTTAGTGCAATATTGTCTTCACATTCGCCCCCCCCCCCAGTGGCACAGTGGTATGTCTGCGAAATTACAACGCTAAAAACCGGGTTTCGATACCCGTGGTGAGCAGAGCACAAACAGCCCATTTTGTAGCTTTATGTTTAATTCCAAACAAACAAACATCTTCACATCCGTTATTTGTATGAATGCACAAGATTTTCTTATGGGTGTGTGTGTGTGGTTGTGTGTGTTTTAACGTAGAAGTAGCTTCAAACAAATTATGTACGTAAGCTTTGAGTAACTGAATATACAATTTATTGCCTATTGTGAAGCACAATAACCCCGAATTATAGCATCATAAGGCCCCAAACGTCCCGTTCATCGCAGTTCTAATGATATTTTCTATATTGCTATTTTTTGTAACTTTTTCTCATTTGCTTGGCTAGAGCAATTTTGAGGCATGAAGATTAGTTCTTTAATCAACCTTTCGTAAAACCATTATCATATGGTAACAGTTTACTCTGAATGGTAACCATAAATAATTCATTGGTTTCCTGTTATTTCAGGTGATTCTCAGTAGTCCGACGATCATAGACAAAGCTGATGAGTATTCTATGCTACATCCATGGCTAGGGTCTGGGTTGCTGACAAGGTAATGTATACCAATGAGGATTTGTAATTACCGGCGGAAATAAAATAATATAATACATTTAGGTGTGGTGTAAAACCGTATTTATTCAGTGGTACTCCTCTGAAGAAACAGAAGAGGAAATAATTAGGACTTAAAATTTAACCAAAAGTAGTATTCCTTTATAACCCTTTTTTAACACCTAAATTCAAACTGGAATAAGGTACCTTAATGAAGACTTTTAAATTCCGTGATTTTGCGTCTTTTCCGTTAGTATTACGGATACAAACACGTTTCTTAGCGAATATTGCAAATTTCATTGTGTAACACACCATGAAAACCCAAACATTTATCCTGTGTGACGTCATACGATCCCCACACCCACCTTGAATTGATTCCAGATGGTACGCGGAATAATTTTCTTTGTTGGATTGCTGATCCAAATAGTGAAAGGTTAAAAGTTAATGAATGTTTTTTTTTATCTTAAGTTATTTATTTAACTCCGTATTAGTGTTATCGAGCAACACTACTTTGAGTTATGTTTTATTGTTGTCACTTGACATTTTTAACTATTTTCCCTTGCTAGCAGATCTTCCTTTAAAGATAAATAAGGTCTTAGAACTTAACATTTAATTTTGTAATATATGAATAAATCAGTGTTGATGTTTAGAGAAAGCAAAACCAAAAAGTCCTCGTAACAGGAGTGAATTTATTTATTTCAATATTGTAGTAGTACTTGCATAATGTATATTAAATAACAGTTTTAGTTTGATTTAAAAGAAAATATTTACCCAACCTTAGAATGCTTTATTTTTGCAACAGTGTTTTTTTTTTTCTCGCTGATCTTTAATTTCTAAGACATCTTAATAAATATGTAGTTAATGCCAAAGTTGGGGTTGGTTAGATTTGTTTGTATATTTATTTGTTTGTCTTGTTGTGAGAGCACAAAGCTATACAATGGGATATCTATGCTGTGCCCATTATGGGTATCGAACCAGGATTTTAGCGTTATAAGCCTTCAGACTTGCTAGATTTTTTTATCACATGTTGAGTCCGTTAGAATAGTTTTGGAACTTATTTGTAGGATAGTCTTGAAATGGTCCACTTAAGAACAATCGGTTTAAAAGTCACGAGAGTTTAACTTTGAAAAAATGATAAAGTTTTTCAATGACTGTATATTATTTCCGCTTTTTCCCCCTGAAACATATTTATAAAACTGTAAAACAAAAGATAGTGAAATTTTATTAGAGTATCTAATTGAAATCAAAATTACTTAAATGAATGTTTGTGGCTATAGAGACCGAAGTTCCTTCGATATCTCGTGGGGAAACAGCACATTATACAAATCAGTACAATATGAACCAAAATAAAATTTCATTCTTGTATATATATAATCAATATAAAGAAGAACCCAAAATTAATCTAGTTTTTCAGTATATTTGAATAATAATAAAAAAGGCATGAATACTAGTCGTAATTACAACAATGTACAGATCAATGGTGGACAAATTATAGTCCACGACAAAATCTGACCCGATTCTTGACGGATCATGTATCAGCTCAAGAGCAAAGTTCCTCCTTTGTTAATCTTAATTTTCGCTAGGTGTCGATACCATGTGACGCATGCAGTGCTGAAAAGTTAACCCATCTTGGTCCCTTTTACAAGCCCCCCAGTGGCTGAGCTGTAAGTATGAAGACTTATAACGCAAATATTTCGTCGTGGATACGGCACAATTAGACAATTGTGTAGTTTTAGGAAACACTACATAATATAATGAAGAAGGATCTCCGTCTGGAAAACTGACACAAGTGTAAACAATCTGCTTCTATGACATATCCAAGAAAGGAAAACTTCATTATATTATGTAGTGTTTCCTAGGACACGTGGGCGACTTTTACCGTTGACCTATGTGGTCCTGGATTCTTGCCTGTTACAAAACGCCACATATCAATTACCATACCTAGGGTATACGACTAGTTGTAGGCCTCTTTCTGGATGGTCCTTGTGTCTCAAGTTAATACATGTTCCATTGTTTTCCAATGTGATTAACTACAAAAGTGTGTGCGTTTGTTTTATAGTAAAACCACATTGGACTATATGCTGTGTCCACCGAAGGGAATCGAACCCCGGATGTTAGAGCTACAAGTCCGTATACTTATCGCTGTTCCACTGGGGGACAAGTACAAGAGATATCCCCATCTCGAAAATTCTAAATCCCCGATTTGAGCATATCCTTATGATTAGAGTCTGAATATTTAGTGTCGTGAAGGGCTGTTACATACATTTCCAAAAAGGGATCAGTGTTCGGTGGCATCACACTACCTACGTAATCCTAAACATTGTCAAAATGTAATTATGAAACACGTAGTACCAAATCGACCTTATATTGGCAGTGGGTGTCGCGTGTCTTGCTGATTTACACAAGCTCCTTGTACACAAGCTGACATTACTATTCTACTTTCCTGTACTATGTTTCCCTGTAAGGCATGCTGGGTAGGTTTGTTTTATTTTTGTTTGTAGTCAAGCACAAAGCTACACAAAGGGCTATCTGTGCTCTGCTCACCACGGGTATCGAAGCCCGGTCTCTAGCATTGTAAATCCACAGACTTACTGTGCTACTGGGGGGCTGCTGGGTAGGCCAGGTCACATATTCATTGAATAACTTGAAACTTTTCATAGGGCAACATGTCTTTGATATATTATTCCAAGTGTATTGTGGTAATAAATTGTTCTATTATTACCAGAAGCGTCTTCTTCTTATATTGAGTTTCTTGTTATTGTTAGTTTAATTAAATTTTTGGTATGGTTAAAAGTTGTTGTTTTTTTCTTTATATTATATTGCATTTCATTGCTATAATTATTGTTAGTGCACTAAGCTGACCGAGTACCATTAGGAGTGTTAATAGAATAATTTTTTTATCGATTTTATGATGTTACAAAGCAATTAAGACTATTTTTCATTTATTTCTATGATGAATAACCAGTTCCGGAAATAAGTGGAAAGCAAGACGGAAGATGTTGACTCCTGCTTTTCATTTCCGAATCCTAGAAGATTTCCTGCATGTTTTTAATGAAAAGAGTGATATTTTGGTGGAAAAGTTAAAAGAGGCTCAAACATACAAATGGGTGTACATGGAACATTTCATTACACTCTGCACCTTAGACTCAATTTGCGGTGAGTTCTTGAGTGTTACTTATATATATATATATTCAGTTTTATAATGAAAACGTGCACGTTTTCATATTACGTTTTTAGTTTTGTTTTACTGGCAAAATCCTTCTCGTGAAAAAAAAAATCTTTAAGGCTTAATTTCCTTTTCAGTTTGATTTCGCGCAAAACTACACGAGGGTTATCTGTGCTAGCCGTCCCTAATTTAGCAGAGGTAGACTATAGGAAAGGCAGCTAGTCAATACCACCCACCGCCAACTCTTGGGCAATTTTTTTCCCAACGAATAGTGGGATTGGCCGTAGGTTTATAATACCCTCACGGCTGAAAGGGCGAGTATGGTCGGTGACGGACATTCAAACCTGTGCGTCGAGCGTCCTAACCATCAAGCCATCCCAGCCCTTCGTTTTAGAAATATAAAAATTTCAATGAAGATATTTATTATACGTATTCTTAAGATCTAATTATTTCAATGTCTCGAATAAACTTAAAAATAACTTTAATTACTTTAACAGACAGGAGATTGTTAAAATCACCTAATGACGAGTTACCACGACCTGTACTCCTGTTTTTATCTGTTTTAGTTTAATGGGTATAACATATAAACAGTTGCAATTAAACGATGACCTTTCCTTATGTAGTTCGGCTTATTTAGTTAGCCTGTCTCGCGAAGAAATCATTAACTTTTATAACTTTATTCTCAGTGGTATATATATTTTTTTATTATAATTGAATAAACTACGTTTAAATTTTTTCATGCTGGCTTCGATACGCGCGAAATAGCTTACTGGCAATCTCATCCTGCTTTGGTTACCACAAGTTCACGAATGGTTAGTCCAACAGTAAAATATTAATCGTTAAATCCAGTTTCTTTTTGCTTTCTGTACAGCACAGAAGTTTGTCTGTAACACAGCAACTGTAATCAGTACTTCTCCCCCCCCCTTTCTTTGACAAGTCATACTGCTTGTCTGTACTATAAAAACTGTAATCAGTACTTCTCCCCCTTTGTTTAATACGTTATATTAGTTAATGTTTTGAACAAAATAGTGTGTATTGCTAAATTTAAATTATAATTTAAACACATGCCAATAAAAACACAGTAATCCGTCTATTTCTGTAATAGCAAATACATTACACAGTTTTAGAAGCGTGTGACAAATAGATTTAAAAGTACTCAACTTATTTCTTGCTTTCCTTTACTTTTATGCAAAGTATCCTATTTGGAAGTTTCGGAAATTTCTTACTCCCGGGGTAATTTTTAAAGGAAAGATGAAATAACTAATCATAACCAAATTACAAAAAATCTAAGAACCAAATATTGACCTTTACTGTGTTCAGATTTGTTGCTTATTGTCACATCACTGCTTCACTAACACTCATCGCTTATCTCCAGTCTTATGTTTACATATAAATAAATATTTGTATTAGAAAAAAAAATACAGATTGACTGGTAATAGCAACCCATAGTCAAATTAAAAAAGTTTTAATGCATGCTATTGCAGTCTTGGAAGTGTTGTAACCAAAAGTGACTTACACTGATCTGTTGCACAAAAACAGGTTTGTAACGGGCGAATGAATAACCCGTGGGCTTGTTAGAAAGAAATTTATTTGGATTTCGGGTCATGATTTCGCGAGCAGAGCATACAAGCCACCAACTCAAGGAAGTTTATGTGTGGAATAAAGAACTCATACAGAGACAACTGAATACAAATAAAATAATTTCAATATTTATATACTGTTGAACAGTTCATTTATATAGAAACTCCCAAGGTTATCTTGAAACAACACTATCCCTAAATCATTGAATTCTTCACGTTGAAAGTCTAGATGTTCGTTAATAAGCCCTTCTATTATGTTCAATAACATAGACACATCATTAGTTAACATGAGAAATTCTCTCGTCATATTCTGTATAACTGCATTAATAATTCTTCTAAGATACCTTTCAGTAGTTCCACTATAAGCGTTATCAAATCCACTATTCCTTTAGTACATTTACCATTCTTCACTTTTTTCTATTTATATTAGGTCGTCAAGAAATTAATGTCCCTTTTCAGATGAAAAAACCCGAACAATTTATAAATCAAAACAAAACATTTATTAAATGAAGTAGTCTCCATTCTTATCGATGATGCTTTTCCATCTGACAATCAGGTTGTTAATGCCCTCCTGGCTCTAAAGCAAAAAACATGTAGATGTCCTCTTTAACACCTTCCACATTTGCATACGTTTTCCCATTAAGATGATATTGCAGGGAATAAAAAAGATGGTAATCTGATGGTGCCATATCTGGAGAATATGGTGGATGGGGGAGAACTTCCCAACCCAAATCCATAATCTTGTGTTGCATCAAACGTGCCACATGTGGACGTGCATTATCTTGGAGAAGAAGAACACTTTTCCGATTGACGAGTGAAGGGCATTTTTGATAAAGGGCTTGATTTAAATGTTCCAGTTGCTGACTATAGATCTCTGCATTGACAGTTCGCTGTGGATTGAGGAGTTTGAAATGAATTACCCCTTTGATGTCCCACCAAATGCAAAGCATCACTTTCTACAGATGGAGTCCAGGTTTTGGGGTCTGAAGTGGTTTTTGTCTAGGACTGAGCCATTGTTTTTGGTGTATAATATTCGCATAGAGAGTCCATTTTTCATCACCAGTGATAATTCTCTCCAAAATTGGTTCACGCGCATTACGCGCCAGAAGAGACGAAACAACATTCATACATTGGAAATGATGATCATCGGAGAGTTCGTGAGGCATCCAAACACCTTCTTTATGGAGTTTTCCCATATTTCTTAGATATTTACATATTGTTTCATGTGAGACATGCAATTTCAGGGCCATTTCACGAGTGTGTTGCCTTGAAATAGACTCAACAAGCGTCTTCAGAGCATCAATATCAATTCCAAC